TTTTCTTTTTTGAATTTGTAGGTCTGATGAATTGATCGTATTTACGATTCCAATGGAATAAATTATGACCATGGAATATTAGTGTTTAAGCCTTTTATTATTATATATATATATATATATATATATATATATATATATATAGGTAGGTATAGGGAGGCACGGTGGAGTAATGGATAACGGTTCGATTTCCAGTCGAATCCATTACATTCACTTACGTGCTAATACCCTTGGGTATCATCTTCTCCACCCCAGCTATGGGTAAATAACAGAACAGGCCGGGTTCTATAGATTTGGATGGCAACTGGTCTACCGCGGAAAGAAATGGCAACCTACCGCGGGAAAAATCTACCTCGTCTGTCATGTATCGAAAGATACATGATCGCCTAAGCGAGTATGACGCATGGCACATGACTGACTGAACCTTAGCACAACGACTCAATAGTGGGGCGCACAGTGAGGATCAAACTCTCTACACTGGCGATGGTCTGTGAGACTAGCTCGTTAACCATTGCTCTATGTCAGTCTACCTGTATAGATATTTACTTAGCTTAGCACAAGGCCATAATAGTGGAGCACCCAGTGAGGATCAAACTCTCTTCACTAGCGATGGTCTGTGAGACTAGCTCATTAACCATTACTCTGTCAGTCTCCCTTATGTAGATATTTACTATTTACTAAGCTTAGTACCAGATTGCTTATATGAATCCTCTTTATGATGCTCTACCGACTGAGCTATGCAGGTCGATGGATTAATGGATAGCGGCTGGGATTGAGGAATCGGAGAGCCGAGTTCGAATTCCAGTCGAATTCATTACATTCACTTACGTGTTAATGCCCTTGGGAAAGGTATGAATCCTCTTCTTTCTCCCCCCACCTCAGCAGGATAGACCGGGTTCTATAGTCTTAGGTGGCAACTGGTCTACCGCAGAAAGAAATGGCAACCTACTGCGGGAAAAATACTGCCTCGTCAGATAAGCGTGTATCACGCATGGCATATAACTGAAGGTATAATGAGTCACAATGCAAAATGTGGGTCTTGCTGTGGGTCACAATAAAAAAAAGTTTGAAAAACGCTGCTATACCGATTTCCTACAAAATCCATGTCCTTGTGCCAGACATAAAACTTAGTAGAAACAGCAATTCTCGATAATAGGCGCGAAATTGCAAAACAAGACGTCCACTGCGTAAAATTTGAAAAAGAAAAAACATATTTATTTTACAATGTTGCAAAAAAAATCCTCTTGTGCGACTATTATGGCAAGATAACAATTTTCTGAAGTTACTAAAAGGGGACAATCATAAGGTATAAGGAAAAACGTGATAGAATTATTAGGAATAGACACAGATTCAAAAACAAACAAAATATTAAACCCTTTAAAAATAGAAAAAAGGGTAAAACTTAGAAGAAGCAAAAATTTACATATGGCAGAAAATACAAAACGTACTTAACAGAATACTCAATAACAGGACGTCTCAGAACAAAAGGGTTTTCGTGTTTTCAAAAGTTATCTAGAGGGCCTTTTGAAGCATTTTGTTGGAAGGTTGAAAGTTCTTTCGGCTTCTCAGGGAAGGCACAGAAAGGAATGTTCTGTCCTGGATTAGAATATGCCTTGGATCTGTCGGCTCCTTTTTTCCCCGTGTTGATTTATAACCCCCACCTGTCCTCTTGAAGCGTGGGCGCTAATGCCTTTTCCTCTACCGTTAACTGCTTTCTCAATAGTTCCTTGTTTCTCTCCTGTTTATCCGCTCACAATAGTCCTTTTTATTGTAAAGAAGGGACCGTCATACCGGCTCACTTCAATTTTTCACAAGGGCTCACACAAGGTCGTCGTCTCTCATTGGCCAATATATGCGAACCTTTCACCAAGAATTCGAAAAACGAATCCGTAACAATTCAACAAATAAACCGCTTGAGCCGAAAAGGTCATAAAAATGTAAAAATTTAAAAAAAAAGTGTATTAAAAAAAAAAACAACCTGTAAGATTATACATTTACAATTTTAATATTTTCAAAAAAATAAAAATACAATTTTTATATCTCTTCTAAGGAAGAACAGACATTTTCTTATCCACATAAAGGACAGATGTATGAACCAGACAGACACACCCTAAACCTCACAACCAAACAATAACAAACTTTATAAAAACGGCAATACACTTTCATTACCTACAGAAATGGCTAGACGAGATATTCTTCAGTCAAAATCAAGCAAACATGTTACGTACTATCATTAATAACAGACAAACAGGAAATTCAAATAACACAAAGGCGTTATATGAACTTGAGGCGGAATGTTGTATAATGCGCGATCTCGTATAGACGAGACTACAAAACGAGATCTAAACGTGACATACAGACGGTGAAGGGAATTGACGCGAATGGGGGTTTTCAATAAAGATAGATTAAACATAACAAGCTTGTATCGTTTTCTCAATAGTACAAAAAGGATGATACCCAATACTGCAATATTTGATTAGGGCTGGCCTACTAGTATTGTTCAGAAACTGGGGTCGCATTATACACCAGCTATATGAAAAAATCAGGTTATTCACAAAAAAATTCAGAGGTAGCACTAAATATGATGTCGACTTATACACAAGTATATACGGTAAATCTCTTTTAATCTCTCTATTAGATCGTATATCGCATTTTTCTGCTATTGCTTTAGTCATGATCAGTGATATCATGTATGAGCCTGGTCTTAGGTCTAGTGTCGGGAATTGTGAGATCAGCGCACTTTCAATGCATTTTGTTTTAGTGTGAAATCTTTTATCTCTTGATCAAACTGGCATTTATTCAGTCTAAATTGTGTCCTCATGTAAACTACCAGTGCGTTTAAAGTGCCGTAATACAGCATATCTCTGCGATGCTCATAGTTTGATGACGTGCTCCGCTCGTCCGTCACTGCAAAACCTGATGACATCCAGGGTCGGCTGTGTCTGCATGCACACCTGAATAGCTATGTCCACATGTTTGCCCATTTGGCCGTAATCGAATTCACAAAGAATAACGACATTTGCCTTTCAAGACTCCCCAGTTGGGAAATAGCAACAATACGAATTCTCACTTAGCCAGCTATCTTTCCTTCGGCTAAATTGCTATTTAAAAAGATCGTTTAGTAAGGTGATTTCTTCCCGTGGTAGTAGCACCTGTCAGGGTCCCAGCTCTGGGCAAATAGTTAATCCTCAAACAAAACACTATGAAAGTATAAAAATACATTTTTATAGTAAAAAATACCATCAATACATATTTATATTAAAAAAATGACCAACAATACATATCTATAGTAAAATGACCAACAATACATTTTTAAAGCAACTTGACCATTATAGAAGTCGAAGCCATAAAATTGTGTTCAAAATATTTGAATTTTGGCTTTACATTTAGAGGTGCTGTTATGTCGTTAAAGAAAATCAAATTTTCAAATCTTCTGATGAATGTTCATCTGTGTTATCTAAACTCTATGAATTTAAACTCAGTGCTAGATTGACGGCAAGGCCTCATAATTTTAAAGGTGAAATGGCTAGATGTAACCGTAACATCTACACTAAGACCTTCTTTTCCCGCACTTTTCGCTTGCGGAACTAACTTCCTGTTTCTCGATGCCTAGTTAACTTTGATCTTCAAAAATTTCAGTGCAATGTCAATCGTTATCTTCTGTCTTCTTAATTCCTCTTCTTTTATTGTCCTTTCCCCTCACTAAAGTCTTTTAATTCCCTTTCACTCTTCTTACTTTCCAGTCAACTTTGATCTTCAAAAATTTCAATGCAATGTCAATCGTTATCTTCTGTCTTCTTAATTCCTCTTCTTTTATTGTCCTTTCCCCTCACTAAAGTCTTCTAATTCTCTTTCACTCTTCTTACTTTCCAGTTAACTTTGATCTTCAAACATTTCAATGCAATGTCAATCGTTATCTTCTGTCTTCTTAATTCCTCTTCTTTTATTTTCCTTTCCCCTCACTAAAGTTTTCTGATTCTCTTTCAATCTTTCACAAAATCCAACCAAAGATGGGTAGCTGAACAAATGATAATAGCAAGTACCGAAAATGTCTGTAATAGAATTGATGCAACACAGCTTCATCCAGGATGGACTTCCCTACTTCAACGGAAAATATGAAAAAACTAGAAAGAATTCTTTCTTTCATTAAAACATTTCTTTCTTTCTTTAAACAATTCTCACACTTTCAGCTTACGTATGTCTTGTGAACTCAATTAGATCGGATTTTTTTGTTAATTTGAATTTATAACGTGTACAATGTAGCTTAGTCACAGTTTCATTTATTTCTCAAGAGTGTTCAAGGATTGCAAAAGCTTTTCGAAATATATGCTTTAACAATAAATTATCCGTTGGAATAACAAGTTTTTATCCTTTTTAATTCAACTTCACCAATGGAATCAAGCGTTTTTACAAATTACTACTACTACTAATAATAAATGCTTTGACTATTGAAACGTTTTTGTCTAATTCATTTCATTTTTACAGTTAGCTTGATCTTTCGCAAATATAATTGCCAAAGGGGGAAGTTGCGTCCTGTCTGTTATCCAATGGGCTTTCGGTGTATCTTATAATATTGCCAATTAAAGTAAACATTTCTTTTATAATATTTTAAATTTGTTAAGAGTCGTGGTGGCCTATGCTCTGAAGGAAAATGTTATTAAAAAACATTAACATTTAAAATAGGAAAATATTTTAAATTTTAATTTTTTTTAATGACATGTTCCTTCATGACATAAGGCCACCAAGAACTCTTAACGGTTTTTATATATTTATATCATCTGGTATTACCAAGTGGTCACCCATCTAAGTACTTACCAGGCCAGATGTTGCTTCTCGGTCGTTCAAAAGGTGGCAATAAGCCCTGTGCACCACCCACACAGACAAGCAGTCACCCATCTCGGTGCTCATCAGCGTCGATGTTGTTTAACTTTGGTGGCCGTATGGGAAGCGGTGTTTCAACATGAAGTGGTCGCAAGCCATACCATCTGCAAAGACAAGCTTAAAGCACCTGGTATTCCCAAGCGGTCACCCATCTAGATACTCACCAGCGTCGACGTTGCTTAACTTTAGTGGTCGTACAGGAAGCGGTGTTTCAACGTGAAGTGGTCGCAAGCCATACCATCTGCAAAGACAAGCTTAAAGCACCTGGTATTCCCAAGCGGTCACCCATATAGATACTCACCAGCATCGACGTTGCTTAACTTTGGTGGCCTTACGGGAAGCGGTGTTTCAACATGAAGTAGTTGCAAGCCATACCACCCGCACAGACAAGCTTAAAGCACCTGGTATTCCCAAACTGTCACCCATCTAGATACTAACCAGCGTCGACGTTGCTTAGCTTTGGTGGCCTTACGGGAAGCGGTGTTTCAACATGAAGTGACCGTAAGCCATACCACCCGCACAGACAAGCTTGAAGCACCTGGTATTCCCATCTAGATACTGACACAAGTCATCGTGGCCGAGGGCTTGAGCGTGCTGGCCATGTTCAAATTGTTGATCACGCTAGATAACACGCCCTTTCCCAGAAACTGTAACTAAGGTCTGCTCAGCATAGTCACAGTACAAACCGTAGGTGGGCTCTGTGGGTGTTGAATGAACAGCAAGAATCTGCAATAGGGATTCGCTAGCCGCCCTAGTAGATGGGAATCCTCGAATACGACTGGCCAGCTATACTGACCAGATTCGACATAAGCCTACGTCCTGGAGGAATCTATCATTAAAAAATTAAAATTTAAAATATGAAGATTTTTAACATTTTAATTTTTTTAATAACATGCTCCTTCAGGTCATAAGTAACCACAACTCTTGGCAGATTTAATTATGTTGAAGTTGTCAAGCATTCTTGAGAATGGTCGATGTGCAGTTTCTTGTTGCCTTTGTTATAAAATAAAATAAGACATATCTCGGCTGATTTGCAGGCAAATGAACTAATATACTCAAGAGCGAGAGCCGGGTGTGAACGGGACAAGCCCCCGTCACAAAATGACCATTATCATCGTTTACGTATAAGCCCGACGCACGAGTTCCGGTCGAAAAATAAAATAATATTTTAAAGTGTTTCTATTTTTCGACCAATAAAAATGCTTCCCTCCTAATTATACTCGTGTCGTTTTACGAGCCTGTTAAGCCATAAAAAACGCCATAAAAGGGGAAGTACAACTAGAGTCAACAGGAGGCCAGGGAAGAGATCTGTCACGGGCAGTCAGCAGGAGTAGCGCCACGTCAACCAGTGAGAACTACTATGATAGATCCACCCAGATCGACAGCCGGCTTATGAACTATACTACAAGGTAGCTGTCCCAAAACCACACGTTCCTATTGAAATAAATCACGTAAATCTATTTCTGCTGTTGTCATATTTCTTGCAACCACACGCTTGTCTATAACACCTTCTTCATGGTTTTGGAGTTTTCTTTCTCCGCCAACCAAGTCTAGGGTCTCAAATCTACGCTGTTTTTTAATCAATAGAAATCGTGTGTGACGAGGAAGATTAGAACGTTCCTTTAGACTCGTATATATATCCCATTTTTTTTCTTTTGAGTTTACGCATGAAATAGGCACCAGCCGACAGTGTATATCACACAATTTAAAAGCGTTCTTTTTTTTTTGTCAGTCGGAATTCTATATAAATAACACAAAAACGCCAAGTCATGACACGTGGAATTAAATAATCCACCTGTCGACTTGCGGAGCTGGGATCCAAGTTGATAATTCATATTTTTTTTAAAGGCAGTTAGACAAAACTGTTTAACAAGTCCCGCCCCTGTCTTTATAACACTGGTCAAAAAAAAAAAAGAAAAAAAAATTGAAATGGTGTCGAGACACCAAACATTTTTTTAGCTAATTTGAGGGCGCTGAAATCTGAAAATGACCTTATTTTTTTCTTTGTTAGCTACCATCTTGGCTGTACAGAAATGCATCATTTTTGGGAAAAAAAAATTTTTTTTAATTTTTTTTTCTGTATATATGATATTGACCGATGGTAATATTTCTCAAAATGAAATCGTAGAAACCTCTCAATTCGTATTTAAACCAACAAATATTTGTCTGCTTATTGAGAAATCCTATTTTTGCAATAACAATCAGACCCTAAGTCTTTAAAAATAACACGATTAAATATACCAAGACAAACAAGTATTTTCATCAAAACATTTAATAAAATAACAACAGAAATAAAAACTTCGTGAACATAAAAACTATGGTCAAAATTTCTCTTTCTTGATTGTCTTGTTCAATGTTATTTAAGTCCTTTTTGAAACTCCAGCAGTGTCATGTACAATTCAATTGGGATATCTTTAGTTGGAGTTTCTTTCCAATTGTAAAAACAAAATGCTCTCAATGTGCCTGATTTCCTTCCGTAGTGAAGAGGTAAAAGTGATGGGATAAATTTATGAATATCAAACAGAAGATTTTAGGGTTTCATTTTTTTATGTCACCTTAATTATCAGGTTAACTAAAGTGTATTACTGATAAACTTTATCAGTTAATTTGAATTTTGGCGATAAACTGGAAAAATTCGGTACTTCTATTTTAAAGTTTTTGACTCGAAAACACTTTTTTCTTATAAAAATAGTTTATTTCAGGTGGCTGACATAAATTGCTGAAAATGGATGGGTTTCTACGACCTTTACTAACTAAATTTTGCGATCAGCCAAGATCGTAAATTGATCTTTTTTTTTCCAAAAATGAGCAATTTCAGTACAGCAAAAACGGTAGGTAACCATGAAATACTCAGGTCATTTTCGGAATCAGCACCATTAAATTAGCTAAAAAATTTGTTTTGTTTCTTGGCACTAAAAATCGTGTTGATCAATGTAATTCTCTCGAGCTCCGCACCTTTCTTCTTATAATCAATGTTCCAAATGATAATGAAATGCCTTATTAATCTAGGAATTTAACATTTGTATGTGTATTTATATTTCTGTATTGTCGAATGTGCCTTTTTCACCCCGATCACGTGAAATAAAAAAAAATCTCCCATGATTCCATAGAAATGGGTTGTATTTTCAATAAAGTTCTGTGATTTAAACGCCTGTTGGGAGTCAAGTTAATTTCAAATCTCAAATAAAACTAGTGTATATGAACCTGTAGTAATCTTGCGATTGGGTGAAATAAAAAAATCTAATTCCCATGACTCCATAGACTAAAAGAAACCGTCCTACTGGCGGGAAATGTTGTGCACTTCCTGTTTTCAGCCGGCCTCTTGCAAGGAGAACACGTGTAATTGAGCAGCTCCAAATATGATGAACACAGATTATTCAACTTACCCAAATATCACTTTCTCTTGTTAAATATTGTCTTTACTGATAGACTTATCATTTATAGGTATAATATATCCAGCGCAAATTTTCCCATTTTTAATTACAATTTTCAGTACCTGATTTTCTTACCTAAATAATATGTTTTTCAGTTCCTATTAATGTTAACTCAAAGTACAAAGTTTGAAGTGCCTGCATGTAAAATATTTCAAATAAAGATTTATATTTAATATTTTTTTGATATTTTCAAAATCGGGTATGATATACGCATGGTTAGTTGTAGTGTAACTTTAATTGATGGTTAGTGTTCTAGGGTTAAAGAAACTTATTATATTAGATTTTTGAAATATTCTTTTAAGAGACCTTTAATTAATATTGACTGTTTTTAATTTTTTTTAACTCTAGAATACTAACCATGTGTATATAGTACGCAGCGCAAATTTTTCTATTTTTAATTACAATTTTCAGTACCTGATTTTCTTACCTAAATATGTTTTTCAGTTCCTATTAATGTTAACGCAAAATACAAAGTTTGAAGTGCCTGCATGTAAAATATTTCAAATAAAGATTTATATTTAATATTTTTTTGATATTTTCAAAATCGGGTATGATATACGCATGGTTAGTTGTAGTGTAACTTTAATTGATGGTTAGTGTTCTAGGGTTAATGTCTCTTTTTCCATTTAAATGTGATTTCTTTTTGATAATTCAGACACTAATTGCCGTTTGTTTTAAATTTCATGTTTTCATGTCTTTTTTTTTTTACCTGGACTCACAGGAGTTCACCAAATATTTTTGGGGGGGGCAAATGGACCTGGGACCATTAAATGTTTACTGAAAAAACGTCCACACCTCACAACAAAAGGCGTGAGTTCCACAACCGAGAATAAATTGTTAGTATAGAACTCACGTTTACATCTGGAGGAAAACGGTGGGACCTAATTGCCAATCTAGTTGTACGTTTAAATTCGCCCAAGTCGATGCATTAAGGAGGAAAACTCATCAGAACAATTGCCATAAAAATATTTATGGAAAAGACAGAGGTAAGCTACGATTCGGCAGTGGGAAATTTATTGAAGTCGAGATACCGGGTCAGAACAGCGGTTCTAACATTGCAAACTACTCTTTTGATTTTGTCGAGAATCTCGTGCGATATAACAGATGTACCAGACCAAATATGGCAGCAATATTCAGTAAACGGACGAATGGTAGACGAATGTGCAAGATGAATTCTGCCGGGAAAAAACTGTCTGGCACAACATAGAGGACTCACTTTCCTAGCAGTAGATCTAACAATTGATTCCATAAGGGCCACCCAAATTTTGGGGGCGTCTCATGCAATTCAAATGTCGCCAATCTCCGTTGTGAAAAAGTCCAAATTGAAACCAGAGGGCAAGTTTAACTTTTAAAGAAACCGCGGCCTGTAACTGAGGTGTGGCTAAAAAACGTTGACACTTCGTGACATTTGGCTTTCCGCTTTTTTCAATCTATTGTGAATACAAATATTACAGACTCTACGTGATTAAGAAAAGATTTTTTGGCGCCTATGCCTGTCTTCTGGTTTGGCTTTGTTTACCAGCTGACAATTCTCTTTTACCTTTACACATTTTTGTTACTGGAGTTGGGATCTTTTACCAAAGATTTTTTAAATAATAATAAAAAGTGCTTTAACGAGATGGCTCGGAAGAAAGGTTTATCCCCCCTTTTAGGTTTCTCCCGTCATGGGCATTATTATATCTGTGATATAATAACTCCGATATTTCACGTGCGAGATGGAATGGCTGAAAGGAAAAAGAATTACCCACATGCTTTGTTCTCAGAGATACTTTTATACAACTAAGATACACACAAAAC